CATGGGGCTCGAACTCACAAACCGTGAGATCATGACCTGAGCAGCTGAAGCTGGATGCTTAACCAACTGAGCCACCCAGGCTCTCCCAGGTTGGGGTTTTAAAATTGGTATGAAAAATGACCAGTAACTGATGCTGTAGGTATTTTAAGCCACAGGGGAAAGCCAAAGAAGACATTTAATACCTTCCTGGAGCTTTGATACTGGATCAGACCTCTTCCCTAATTATACCTACAGATTGGAGAATTAGTACTTTTATTGTTCATGAAGTAACAGGTATATAGTAAAGATGAGATCTCTGTAAAAGGCCCCAAATAAATCTGTCTAGAAGGAGGCACATCTAGGGGCGCCTGGGTGGCTCAGTCAGTCGGGTGTCCGACTCCAGCTCAGGTCACGATCTCACTGTTCGTGATTTCAAGCCCCGTATTGGGCTCTGTGTGGACAGCTCGGAGCCTGGACCCTGCTTCGGATTCTGTGTCTCCCTCTCTCTGCCCCTCCCCCACTCACACTCTGTCTCTCAAAAATGAATAAATGTTAAAAAAAGTTTAGAAAGAGGCACATTTTGAAGTCACAAGCCTGTTACGAGAGTTTAGATGCCAAAATGTCATATCTTGACTTGTTGACTTTGTTTGTATGTATGTATGTATGTATGTATGTATGTATGTATGTATGTATTTATTTATTTATTTTACTTTGTTTTTATTCTAAGCTCTCAGGGCAGTTCTTACCATAATCACCAATGACTATATTTTCAACCTATGGCTCACTCCCTGGATACATTGTGACATCATTTACTGCCCACCTCACCATAAATGAGTCATGTTGAGCAAGGAGGGGTTAACAGAACCAGTTACTACTCAGTCTTACGTGAGTCATCCCTTTGGGGAGAGGGAGAGAGGGTATTTCATAATTGTTTTTTTAATGGTTCTGTTTATGTTATTGGATTGCCTTTAATTTTCAAGATCATTTTATAGGATATAAAAAATAACACTCTTACTCCCTTAACTACATTTTAAGGAGACTGTAGAGGAGAGAGCCTCCTGTTTTGGATGTTTTCCTTTGTGGTGTGCTTAATATTTTGATTTTTTAAAAATTAGTGTTATCCATGCACATGGTTTAAAAAGTCAGATAGTTCTAAAGGGCTAGTTGGGAAATAACAGTTGTCTTCCCCTCCCTGACTGACCACGTTTCTTACTCCCTAGAGATGGTTCCTTCCAACCACTGTAACTTTTTTTTCACGTTTATTTATTATTGAGAGACAGAGACAGAGCGTGAGCAGGGGAGGGGCAGAGAGAGAAGGAGACACAGAATCCCAAGCAGGCGCCAGGCTCCGAGCTGTCAGCACAGAGCCCGACACGGGGCTCGAACCCACGAACCCACAAACCGTGAGATCATGACCTGAGCCCAAGTCGGATGCTTAACCGACTGAGCCACCCAGGCGCCCCTCCTTCCAACCTTTTTAGCTGATGTCTTTGGTATAACCATGTTATTTCATGCTTGTTTCGTTCTGGACTTCTCGTGTTAGGTTCTATCTGATGACATTCTCCCACGGAGGATTAGGATATAGCTCTCTCCCCAAACCCCACGCACCCACACACGTATTTCCTACCCACCCTCCTCACACCCTGTGCTGTATTGCAATTTTGATGAGAGCAATATTCGGGGTTTAGTGCTTTCACAGTTATAATAGAGCAGTCAAGGGGCGCCTGGGTGGCTCAGTCGGTTAAGCGTCCGACTTGGGCTCATGTCATGATCTCACGGTCTGTGAGTTTGAGCCTCGAGCCGGGCTCTGTGCTGACAGCTCAGAGCCTGGAGTCTGCTTCGGGTTCTGTGTCTCCCTCTTTCTCTGCCCCTCCCATGCTCATGCTCTGTCTCTCTGTGTCTCAAAAATAAATAAACACTAAAAAAAAAAAAAAAAAAAAAAAAAAAAAAAAAAAAGAACAAAATGAACATTTTTTTCTTCACCCGGGAGTTAATAAATGTCTTACTTTTTTGTTAGTCTGGTTTTCTGTGTACGTATTATTTATCCCATCCCGGCTCTTGGGGCCTGGCTAGATCTCCTCTCAGTACTTTGAAACACAAGCCCTCCAGTAGCTCCCCAAGAAGGAGCACATGTGGTGATGGCATGACTTAAATATGCCCTTAAACATGACAGGTAGAATACCCATCATTGAACACATAATTGGTTAGATATAGAATTGAAATCTGAAATAATTTTCTCTTAACATTTTGAAGATACTAATTCATTGCCTTTTGGTTTCTAGAGTTGCAAGTGAGAAATCCAGTGCTATCCTGAGTCTTAACACTTCAAACGAAATCTCCTTTTTTTCCCGCCGGGGGCTTGTAGGATTTTCTTTTTGTCCCCCAGGGTTCTGAAACTTGACAATCATGTGGCTTGACACGAATCTGGATGTTTGGTGGGTTTCCTCAGCCTGGAAACTCTTATCATCCTTCATTTCTGGGAAATCCTCCTTAATTATTTCTTGGATGATTTCCTCCCTTTGATTGCCCTGTTCTCTCTTTCTAGAACTCCTGTTGTGTGAATGTTGAGCCTCCCATCCTTTCCCTCTCATGCCCCTATTTTTCTCTCTCCTCCTCTTTTCACCCTGCTCTCTGGGAGAACTGCTCAGCTTTATCTGCCTGCTATTGTGCCAAGTTTTCATCTCTGCTCTCGTACTTTTATTATCTTATTTTACTTTAAGTTTATTTATTTATTTTAAGGGAGAGGGAGGGAGAAAAAAGTCCAAGGAGGGCTCTGCACTGTCAGTGCGGAGCCCGTCATGGGGCTCCAACTCACGAGCTGTGAGATCATGACCTGAGCCGAAATCAGGAGCCAGACGCTTAACCGACTGAGCCCCCCAGGAGTCCCTGCTCTTGTACTTTGAAATTGCCAAGAATTCTTGTTTGTTCTCCGAATGTTCCTCTTTACAGCATCATACTCCTCCCGTGGACGCAATAGCAGTTTTTCACCCCTCCGAGGTTTTCAGTGGTAATTTTTGTTCCAGTTTCTTTTATTTTTTTTGTAATAGAAATCCTCCAAGTTGCCTAAAAGTAGAGAATATAGTGTCCTGAATCTTTCTATACTCGTCATCCAGCCTCAACAATCATCAGTGTTTGTGCAATTCTGTTTCAGCCACATCCCTACTTTGAAAAAAATGTATGCAGAGATACCTATCACAAATACTTTGTTACGCGTGCTTAATAGATGAGGGTTTTTTTTTATAGCCTAAACAGTGTAACGGTAATTTTGTTTTTCATGACTACTTCTTGCGGCACAGATTTCTCCAAGTTTCTTTCCTTTGTATGTCTGCCTTAGTCTCTGATTTCCATTCAGATGGTTTCCTCACAGTCTTGTGGTCCTTGGCCCTCTGCTCATCCTTTTTTTTTTTTTTTTTAATATTTATTTTTGAGAGAGAGAGAGCAGAGGAGGGGCAGAGAGAGAAAGGGAGAGAGAGAATCCAAAACAGGCCCTGCGCTGTCAGCATAGGGTCTGACGTGGGGCTGGAACTCACAGACTATGAGATCGTGACCTGGGCTGAAGTCGGACACTTAACCGACTGAGCCAGCCAGGCGCCCCTCTGCTCCTCTTTAAGAACAGGACACAGAAATACTGATTGGAAGCCCTGTGTAGATGGGTGGGCTTGGTGAGTGTGGTCTTCGCTGTAGACTGATCTAGCT